GTCCCAGACATCCGCAAGAACCTGGTGACCGGGTCTCTACTAGACAAGGCAGGATTTAGGCTAGTTATAGAATCTAGCAAAGTTGTATTGTCCAAGAATGGACTATTTGTAGGAAGAGGATACCTCGATAAGGGGCTCTACAAACTCAATGTAATGACTGTACTTCGTAATCTTGACAATAAAGACAAGAGTTCTTCCTATTTGACTGAGTGTTCTAATTTATGGCATGATAGATTAGGACATGTAAATTACAATACATTGAGAAAATTAGTGAATTTGGAACTCATTCCAAAGTTCAAAATAGACTCACAAAAGTGTGAAGTCTGCGTTGAAGCAAAGATGACAAAAACGCCTTTTCACTCGGTGGAAAGATCTACGAAACATCTTGAATTAATTCACACCGATGTATGTGATTTGAAATTTGTACAAACAAGAGGTGGTAAAAAGTATTTCATCACATTCATTGATGATTGTACAAGGTACTGTGTGATATATCTTTTAAGAAGTAAAGACGAAGCTCTAGATGCTTTTAAAAGATATAAGAACGAGGTTGAAAACCAACACAATACCAAAATCAAAATGATTCGAAGTGATAGAGGTGGAGAATATGTATCACCTTTCGAGGAGTTTTGTATCGAGTCTGGAATAATCCATCAAACTACGGCTCCATACTCTCCACAATCGAACGGAATTGCTGAACGTAAGAATCGTACTCTTAAAGAGATGATGAATGCAATGCTTATAAGTTCAGGACTACCTCAAAACTTGTGGGGGGAAGCTATACTTTCAGCAAATCATATTCTCAATAAGATTCCCCATAAAACAATGAGTATCACTCCATATGAGTTATGGAAAGGACGACAACCATCCTATAAATGCCTCAAAGTGTGGGGGTGTTTGGCTAAAGTAAAAATACCTAAGCCTAAACAAGTTAGGATTGGACCTAAAACTGTCGACTGTATCTTTATTGGATATGCACAAAACAGTAGTGTTTATCGCTTTTTGGTACATAAATCTGAAATTTCTGATCTAACTGAAGGAATGACGATTGAATCCAGAAATGCAGTATTCTTTGAAGATACTTTTCCGGCAAAGAGACGGGAAGAAATAAGTTCTAACAAAAGAACATACAAAACTGCAACTGAGACATCTGAGAAAGATGAACCAAGATGTAGTAAAAGGACAAAAGTGAAAAAGTCTTTTGGTCTTGATTTTCTATCATATATGGTAGAAAATGAACCGAGAACTTTGCAAGAGGCATTCTCAAGTCCAGAAGCTCTGTTTTGGAAAGAAGCTGTAAATAGCAAAATTGAGTCCATCATGCATAACCATACTTGGGAGCTAGTTGATCTTCCACCGGGATGTAAACCTCTAGGATGTAAATGGGTCTTAAAAAGAAAATATAAAGCAGATGGATCAATTGATAAATACAAGGCTAGACTAGTAGCCAAAGGGTACAAACATATCGAATGACATGATTTCTTCGATACTTATTCTCCAGTAACTCGAATTACATCTATAAGGATATTAATTGCTATAGCAGCGCTATATAATTTGGAAATACATCAAATGGATGTAAAAACGAAATTTTTAAATGGCAAGTTGGAAGAAAAAATTTACATGTAACAACCTGAAGGGTTTGTGGTTCCCGGAAAAGAAAGAAAAGTGTGCAAACTAGTTAAATCCCTTTACGGATTAAAACAAGCACCTAAACAGTGGCATGCTAAATTTGACACAACGATGTTGAAGAAATATTTTGACATGAAAGATATGGGTCAAGCTGATGTCATTCTAGGGATAAAGATTTTAAAGGACCAGAAGGAATTTTCTTATCACAATCTCACTATGTTGAGACTGTTCTTAAGAAATTCAATCAGTTTGACTGTATTCCAGCTAGAACACCTGTTGATATTAGTTGTCATCTAGGTAAAAATCGAGGAGATCCAATTTCTCAAGTGGAATATGCAAGGATCATTGGTAGTTTAATGTATCTAACTAGTTGTACTAGACCTGATATTGCATATGCAGTGAACTACTTGAGTAGATTTACAAGTAATCCAAATAAGGATCATTGGAAAGCTTTGATAAGGCTACTTAGATACTTGAAATATACCTTGAATCATGGTTTATGTTATTCTAGGTATCCAGCTGTGTTAGAAGGTTATAGCGATGCTAACTGGATATCAGATACCAATGACTCCAAAGCTACTAGTGGTTATGTGTTTACAATCGGTGGAGGAGCAGTCTCGTGGAAATCTTCCAGACAAACGTGTATAGCTCGGTCTACAATGGAGTGAGTTTATAGCCTTAGATAAGGCTGGAGAAGAAGCTGAATGACTTCGAAACTTTCTAGAAGATATTCCGGGTTGGAATAAACCTGTGTTTGCTGTTATGATACACTGTGATAGTACAACAACAATTGGAAGGGCACAAAATAGTATGTACAATGGTAAGTCTCGACATATTCGTCGTAGACATAATACCATTAGACAATTGATCTCAAATGCTGTGATAACCATAGATTATGTTAAGTCTAAGGAAAACTTAGCAGATCCACTAACGAAAGGCCTTAATCGAGATCAATTGTACAAGTTATCGAGAGGAATGGGATTAAAATCCACGAATTAAAGAATGACCATAGCGGTAACCCAACCTTGTTGACTGGAGATCCCACGATCTTGGTTCAATGGGAAAACCAAGTTATGGAAGTTCAGTTGAACACTTGGAAATTTATTTCCATCTCATTCCTAAAACGATAATCCAAGTGTAAGAAAAGTCTGCGTATCGTGGTGAGGTTGAATTCAATCTTGAATTCTTAATGATTCCTACACCTTTAATCAGGTAGAGTATGGCAGAGTACTTGTGGCATAAAGTTCGGTAGGTAAGATCACTTATATAAGTGAGAAGTTATGACCGCTTCTATAGGGAGAAACACTTATGAATCCAAGATATGGTCCATGGCCAAAACGGACAACAACATGAGAACAAAAACGAAAGTGAGAAATATTATTGTGTAAATGCTGGTTGTCTCGACAAACATTAGAAAACTGGGAGTTCAAGACATCATGTCCACCAACTGGTTAGTATGTCCGGCGGTACTTCACTAAGGAAGGTTCAAGGCAAAAAATCACCTATCCTGATGCAATAATAACTCTTTGGAACTATCTTAAAGATTAAAGGAAAAAAAAACTTAGGTTCATTCTAATTGTCATTCATGTGGGGGATTGTAGGAATATATATAGATAGATAGATATATATGTTGAATGAAAATTAAATAATTAGATAGTACCTTGATGGTCCCCACATGGCTCATTGGAAAGTGGAAAAAGGAAGGAAAATTCCCACATCGGTGATGAAGAGGGAAAAAGGAAGGAGCTCATGGTTATAAATAAAGCTCTTCCCATGCATTTCTTTTCAATAAATAATAAATATTTATTTGGATAAAACTGATAAAGTTTTGTCCTCTAGTTTCCCTTAAAGGGGAAAACGAGCTTAGGTGCTAACACCTTTGCGAGTTTACCTCTCGGGCAACTTGTTGAAGCGAAATGTTGCTTCTGACCGATGTGGGTTTATTCAAAATTTGAAACTCGCGTGAAATTTCACCGAATTGGTGTGAGTTTCTGCTGGTGCCCATTCGGACCAGACAGTTTTTCACCAAACTGGTGCGAATTTCCACTGGTGCCCATTCGGACCAGACAGTTTGCTAACTTTAAACCTTTTCAAGCCATCCTTAGAAAACTATAAATAGGGGACCTTAGTGAACGATTGAGGCATCCCATTTTCTGACATCTTCTTCTGTATCAGAAAAATTCCTTCTCTCTTTTCTTTTTCTAAGATAGTTCCGAACTTTTGTAGTTCGTCGGATTCTTCAAAAGTAAATGGTACTTTTGCAGAATCGTAGTCGTTGTATCTTGGAGACGAGTGCCAAAACCGTAACCACTTGATAACGGGGCATAATCGTCTTGCGGAGATTGAGTAGAACTCAAGTCTCGACTTCACTTGAAACACTTTTCAGTTTTTATTATTTTCTCTAACAATAACTGCGATGAAGATTTCTGTATCTTAGTTGGTACATGACTTGGGGTTGGTGACTATTGCCCTCGCGCATCAGCAACCGGAGCTGATGAGAACCAAGGCCCATTGCAAACAAGGTGGGAATGCCATCCTCTAGGACCAATTTGTATTTTGTATATCCTTGTCGAGAGATGTTCCATCAACCAACTTGTCTATGGGCCTTGAAACGTTGTGCGGCTGAAGTTGTTGCCTCTTTAGTTGTTTGAGCAACTGCAACAACTGCAACTCATCATACCCAGATTGAAAGAGGTTTTGCTGTACAGAAAAATTGTCCTGTTGCCTTTTCTGCTTCAGTCAAATGAATCTTGATTTTGTTTGGATATAGTTTTACTTGCACAAACCCGATGGATGTCTTCCCCATATCAGATTGAGCCTCGCCGATAACGTCATGACCTATGGGAACACCCCAAAAAATTTCGGTTTGTGTTATTGAAATTTAATTTTAACGAACCGTTTTAGATTTTCTGTTCCATTCTAAACCAAATTCTGAATTTATTTTTTTATGTAAAAATAATATTTAAATACCTAAATTTAAAAAAATATCTGAATATTAAATTTTTTATATAATTATCTGAGTTTTCTAAAAATTTTAAAAAATATCTAAAATTTTGAAAATTTTCTAAATAAATTTAAAATTATTTTGGCTATTTTTTTTTAACAAATATTTGAACTCCAGATTTTTTTTTAAAATTTAAATATTTATACAGAATTTTTCAAAATTTCAAGATTTATATAAAAATTTTATAGTTGATATATTTATTTAGAATTTTTATAAAAATATAGTTTTTTATATGCTTTTTGCTTCTTTTTTATAGACGTAATATTTAATTTCTGACGCGGACATAGCATTAAGCACCCGTAAACCACGTCACTCAGATTTTTTTTTTCAAAAAAAGTTGATTTTTTGTTTTACCATAAATTATAAAAGTAGTAAATGAAAAAAAAACGCTCAAAGATATCTTCGTCCCCGTCCCTCTCTCACCGCCGGATCTTCGTCATCTTCTTCTTCTTTGTCTCCGTCATCCACCAAACAAGGTCATCTCTCTGGCCCTTCTCTGCAATTATTGCAATCTGCATGAGTCTGTTGATTTCTCCATTAGAACTCTGTTGAATTTTCTTTAATTAGTTAGGAATCTGCTTGTACACCGGTAAATTCTGCTGGTCATGAAAAATTTTGCTAGGAATTGGTTTTGTAGATTTAATGGTGGAGATATGGACAGAATCTTATGGCTGTTTTGTGGCAAGCATCGCTCGTGCTGTAAGATGGTCCTCTTCCGCTCATTGTGTTAATTGAGGTCCGATTTTTTTTTTGGTATAAATTGAGGTCCGATTTGTCATCGTTCTAGTGGTGGAAACTGAATGTTGCTTGGGTTTTTTTATAGGGAAAGAAAATATAGACTTCTTTCTTCCTCTTCCTCTTTCCTGGAGTCTCTCTGAGTGATGTGATCAAAGCCAAGCTGTTCTGACCAATTTTCAGTTTGATCTGACTGAAATGGCGGACAAAATCACGGCTCTATCTCAATTCTTCATCAATAATCCTCAAGTTGTCCCTTACAAATGGTACTTCGCCGTTTTACCTCCTACTTCTGTTATTTCTTCTCTTGTTTTGCTCCTAATTCTCTTGCTCGCCTGAGCATTTTCAGGGCTAAGAATTACATTTCATCTTCTTCGGTTGAGATTACACGAACAAATCGGACACGGGCACTCCCAGGTTCCGTAAAATTTCAGAAGCTTCACACCAAAAACAGACAGAGAATGTGTTCATTATCTTGCTTTGCGACCTCTGAAAATGTTGGGTTCTTTAGAAATGGGATCGGTGATGGTGATGGGATTATAATTGTCGATCATGGTTCTCATCGCCATGAATCCAATCTTATGCTTGGTGAGATTTCTGGGTTCTTATTCGATTTCTTTTGTTCACTTCTTTTGCTTCTATGGGGGTTATATATCATTGTGTAGTGATTTCCGAGTTTCAGATGAGTTTGTGAAGATGTTCAAAGACCAAACTGGATACCCAATTGTGGAACCTGCTCATATGGTAATTCTTCTAATACTCTCTCACCTTTCTCTTTCTGAGGAAGGTATAGACAGCATGAACATTTTCAGTTAATTGTTTTGGGATGAACGAAATGTTTGTAAAACGAAAACAAATACCTGCAAGTAGAAACAATTTGGTGCTCTTAGATTGTTGTTGTATGTTCCAAGTTGTTTTATTAGCAAGTAATGTTTTGTTCATTTCACAAATCTTAACAAGTAATAGGGTCGCTGCTCTTGGCATGTGATGTTTTTTAAAATTGTTTTGTCCTCTTATTGATGTTTATGTAAATCCAAATGCCATATGACGTTATAGATACCTCTAGAAGGAAATTAGATGATCTGATTTGTAATGATGGGTTTTGCAGTTGAATTTAAATGTAAGTTATTGTGTGAGAAAACTGTTGCAATGAATACTTTTGGTTTCTTTAATTGCAAAACATTAAAAGTATTTAAAAACGTTGGCCTATGTCGTAGAAATAGATCCTATGTTGTCGTAGAAATAGATACCAGTCCTTGTATAAAATGCATCAGGACGTACATTTTTCCTGTTGTCACCCGGACGGGCAATAAGCAAAGTTTTTCCTTTCAGATCATTTGTTTGATATAATCCGCTGTCTCAGCCGCTATAGCGTGCATATTTTTGGGTATTACTCCAAGCATAACATTTTTAGTTTTCTGGCCATCTTTTGGATTACAAATTCATCTGAATCAATAACTTCTCTTCACCCTTTGAGCTTAAACTAGCTTGACACTGTTTATGTCACCGTTCATGGCTGTTATAGCGTATCTAAATAGGAAATTTTTGTCAGGAATTGGCAGAACCTTCTATAAAAGATGCATTCAGCATATGTGTTCAAAAAGGGGCGAAACGGGTAGTTGTTAGCCCGTTTTTTCTCTTTCCTGGAAGACATTGGCAACAGGTATAGTGATAAGGAATAAGATAATAAACTGCTTATATTTCTTAACAAACCCAGAACAATATAGAGTTTTTCTCCATTACAGAGATCAAAAACTCTACCCACCTCAATACTTCTCGCAATTTTCTGATACCCAAAACGGAAAAGGATAATCTATATATATAGCCATTCATTAACCCACTAATGAGCTGGCCTTAGCAACCTATACAAGCAGCCTAGTATATATATATATCCCATAACAACCTCAGGATTCATACATGTCAATTCCCTGCGGTTTCCCCAACTTCCTCTTCTACGCACCTTCCATTATTCCTGCTTCTTCCCCAGTCTTCCCCAGTCTCTCTCTCCTTAACAGCTTCTTCCCTTTCTGCCCCTCCTCTTCTTGGAGCCCTCATCACAAATGTTCTAAAAGGTTTATCAATATCCCCCCTGAAGACGGAGCTTGTTCTCAAGCTTAAAGAGAGGATACTGGCCCACAAACTCCTCCGCAAGCTCCCAAGTGGCGTCGTGTCGAGGGATGCCGCTCCATTCGATAAGGACCTCCAGCAAGCCCTGTTTCGAATAACGACTATACAACAAATTCAGAGGTTCCACTGCAAGTTCCAAATCAGCCGTCAACTGAGGTGGGAGAGGGGTCGGCTCTGCAGACGTTCCTATTGCTTCCTTCAACTGGGACACGTGAAATACAGGATGTATGCGAGCATCCGAAAGGCAACTGAAGACGGTAGGCCACTGCTCCAACTCGCCCAATAATCTCGAAGGGCCCATAATAACGAGCTGCCAGTTTCTGAAATGGGAACGCTGCCGGAAGAGCTGTAACTTCAGAAAAACCCAGTCACCCACCTGAAAAGTTACCTCCCGATGAGAAGAATTAGTCAGAGCCTTCATACGTTGCTGAGCTCTGAATAAATTCTGTTTCAACTCATCAAGCATTGCATCCCTGTCTCTCAATTCACGTTTCAGCTCAAAATTAGTCATCGAACCTTGTTCGAAACGTAACAGGGGAGGCGGGTCTCGCTCATAGACAGCATGGAACGGAGTGGTCTTGAGCGACGTATGAAAAGAGGAGTTATACCACAGTTCCGCCCATGTAAGGTACTTCGACCAACGCCTCGGGTGAGTGGAAGCATAGCAACGGAGATAAGTCTCCAAGCAACGATTTACGACCTCCGATTGACCGTCTGTTTGCGAGTGAAACGACGTGCTGAGTTTGAGCTTAGCCCTCGCCAAACGAAAAAGCTCCTTCCAAAAGTTGTTGAGAAAAAATCGATCTCGATTAGAAACAATGGACTTCGGAAACCCATGGAGACGGACCACTTCTTGGATAAATAACCGAGCTATATCCACTGCTGTAAAATGATGCCTCAAAGCAATAAAGTGGTCGTATTTAGACAGTCTGTCAATCACCACTAGGATCACATCAAACCCCGAGGATCTCGGTAATCCCTCAATAAAATCCATTGATAACTCTTCCCAAATGTTGTCCGGAACCGGCAACGGTTGCAATAAACCTACAGGAGCTAAAGTAGAGTATTTTTGCTGTTGACAGATTAAGCAACCAGCAACATTCAACTGAATCACAGACTTCATACCCTCCCAATAGAAAACCGACTCAATTCGTTTGAGGGTTTTCAACACTCCCGAGTGGCCCCCCATTGGTCCATCATGATATTCCTGTAGAATCAATGGAATAAATGATGATGAACGAGGAAGAACATACCGATCCTTGTATAAGAGAATCCCCTGGCGGATGTGATAGCCTTGTGGAGCCTTGGTCTGGGATCGCAGCTTTTCCCTGATACTTGATAGAACCGGATCAGACTCTACTTCCCAGAGAATATCCTCGAGACTGAGTGAACTCGGTACAGTGAGAGCAAACAGGGTTGCTGCAGCCGACAATTCAGCAGGTTGCGCAATGCGGGACAGCCTATCCGCATCTTTGATCTCAATACCCGGTTTGTAGACAATATCAAAGTCATAGCCCAGTAGTTTATACAACCATTTTTTATACTCCAGATTAACCTTCCTTTGTTCCAGTAAGAATTTCAAAGCTCTTTGATCCGTGTGAACCACAAAACGCCTACCTAATAGGTAAAATGCCTCCAACGTTGTATGGCCAGCACGACGACCATCAACTCTCGCTCATAAATCGACTTAAGCTGTTCTCGAGCCGTTAATCCCCTGCTGTAATAAGCCACTGGGCGACGTTTCTGCATTAGCACCGCTCCTACTCCGAACCCCGATGCATCCGATTCAACCACAAAGGTATCATTAAAATCCGGAAGAATAAGCACTGGAATCGAGAGCATTGCGGATTTCAGATTCTCAAAAGCTTGCGTAGCTACCTCCGACCAAGCAAAATTATCTTTCTTGAGTAAATCCATCAATGGTCGAGCAATGACCCCATAGTTTCGCACAAACCTGCGGTAATACCCGGTGAGACCTAGAAATCTGCGAAGTTCCCTGATTGACGATGGTCTGGGCCATTGTCGCATCACCGCCGTTTTACTCGGGTTTGTCGAAACCCCCTCCCGAGAGATCACGTGGCCCAAATACTCAATGTGAGATCTCCCGAATTGACATTTCTTCAGGTTTGCGAAGAGCTGGTGCGTCTCCAATACCTCCAAAACTTGCTGTAAGTGAGAAACATGATCTGTCACAGATTTGCTATGAAAAAGTTTGGACCCTCAAAGAGTAAAACGGAAAAACTAACCAGTTCTATTCACTTGAGAAAAAGTCAAGTACAACTCACTTTTTGTTAGAGCTACTCAACACCCAGATGAAACTCCCCCTGAGTTTCAACCCACTCTCACAATGAATTCTTCCGATTAAAAACCTTACCAAACATAAACGCTAACCAAAGGAACGAAGATTTTCCCATTAGGTCTCCCCCTCAGATCCACGCCTAAACACTCACCAGAGAAAAGAGATTTATCCAATCGGTCTCTCTGTCAAACCCACACTCACTCAAAAGTGAGTGCTCACTCACTAACACAAAAACTCTTTTAGTAAAATATGCTTTGCTCTCCGTGAGAACTGGTATGCACTTGCTCTCTCCTTTATATAGGGTCCTCTAGTTCGCCTTAGATCTCCACGAATTGATTTGATAGACTCCTCCTTGATTCTCTTTGATTTCATCTTTATCTCCAAAATCTCATCTTTATCTCTTGTTTGACTCTATCTCTTCAGCCTTTGACCTTATCTCCAAGATCTTATTTTTATCTCAAATCTCCTTAAATCTTCTTGACTTTGATTCTATCTTCATCTCTTCAAGTCAAATCCAAAATTCTGGCTATATCTCTTCAGATTGCTTTTCCTAAAATCTCTCCAAGTGGTTGTCATTGAGTCCATCTCAATCTGTCTTTGACTTTTACTCCAACTCTCCAGATTTACCTCAAAATATTTCGAGTTGTATCTCGGCGGATTTCTCTCCTGAACCTGCATTATCCACTTAACAACCAAAACAACACATGTGCAAATAATTGCACTAACAATCTCCCCCTTTTTGGTTATTTCAGATCATGCACACACACATAAAAATGTTCTCAATTCAACACAACTTCGCATCAGGATTCGCATCATGATTCAGACATATTTGACTTTGATTCACTTAACAACACATTTCTCCACATTCACTCAGACAAGTTTGACTTAAATTTGAAGTAACTCTGACCACTTTGACCTTGTCTTTTTCTTTTGTTCCTGTACGTTCTCAGTTCCATCGATGGAATCATTATCATCTCATTATCTTCATCTTCTGAATCATCATCTGATCTCTTCAGATTGCTTTTCCTAAAATCTCTCCAAGTGGTTGTCATTGAGTCCATCTCAATCTGTCTTTGACTTTTACTCCAACTCTCCAGATTTACCTCAAAATATTTCGAGTTGTATCTCGGCGGATTTCTCTCATGAATCTGTATTATCCACTTAACAATCAAAACAACACATGTGCAAATAATTGCACTAACAATCTCCCCCTTTTTGGTTATTTCAGATCATGCACACATACATAAAAATGTTCTCAATTCAACACAACTTCGCATCAGGATTCGCATCATGATTCAGACATATTTGACTTTGATTCACTTAACAACACATTTCTCCACATTCACTCAGACAAGTTTGACTTAAATTTGAAGTAACTCTGACCATTTTGACCTTGTCTTTTTCTTTTGTTCCTGTACGTTCTCAGTTCCATTGATGGAATCATTATCGTCTCATTATCTTCATCTTCTGAATCATCATCTGCACATTCTCCCCCTGTGTGCATGTATGAAATAATCCAAAATCTTGAGTGAGAAGAGATTTAAGACACTTACCTGGCTTGCAAAATTTTGAATCTTCCTCTTGGATCTAGGAGTGCACACATTTGTCTCACCATTCTTCTGTTCAACACTTAACAACAACACTCGCAGTAGGATAATATGAGCGACACATCCTTTCTTATCACAAAATTGATTGCAAGTCTCTGATTTTTCAGCTCCACATTGTCCAATAACTTAGTCATTACTTCACTACTCAACTCAAATCTGGTTTATATTTTTTTTTTTTTGAAAATCAAATGAAAACACATGCGAGATTAATTAGGATCTTTCAAGTTTTAAATCTAATAACATCATTCAGCAGATCATTAGAGCATAATGCTTGATCAGTTAAGTAATACCTCACTTTCCACCGAACACTTCACTGACTTTTCTCCCCCTGAACTTCTAGGACATTGAAACCGAGCATGCAAGTTTCACCATTTAAGTCCAGTCTATCTCACTGAGATATACTCTTGTAATGTTTCAAATTACAGCGGAGTATGATGCATGAATATCATCTGCCCTTAGACCATCGTATAGACTGCATGTGGTTCAACTTAGACCCGAGTGATTCAATTTTCCAATCTACTCATATCAACTTTTCATCCTTTCCTTTTTCTTTCTTTTTCTTTTTCCTTTTTCATCACTTTTTTTTTCTTCTTTTCCTTCCTTTTTTTTTTGGATCATTCAGGAGTACTA